AGCAGCAGCAGCAGCAGCAACAGCAGCAGCAGCAGCAGCAACAGCAGCAGCAGCAGCAGCAACAGCAGCTCCATCCACCACGTACTGCAGTTTGTGTTGAATTTGCTGCGAAGCAATTCCGCCCCTCAGCGGGTAACCGTTCATGGGGGCCCCCCGCCCCCCTGGCAACCCCGCAGGGAGAAGGGGGAGCGGCGAGCTGCTGTGCGCTGCATGTGCTGCTGCTGAAAGTAGAAAAAGAAAAGAAAGAAAAAGAGCTGCAGCAACGCAAGTCAAATGAACAAAGACGTAGTGCTGCTGCTGCTGCTGCTGCTGCTGCTGCTGCTGCTGCTGTTGATACTGGTTCTGCCAGTGCTGCTGCTTCTGCTGCCTCTGCTGCAGTTGCTACTTCAGCTGTTGCTGCTGCTGCTGCTGCTGCTGCTGCTGCTGCTGAGAGGGGCCGCAGAGCAGCCGAGCGGCGGGTTTAGCTGCGAGGCTACCACCGTCTTTTGTTCGGTTGTGCTGAAGAGCTGCTGTTCTGGTGCTGCAGCAGCTGCTGCAGCTGCTGCTGCTGCTGCTGCTGCTGCTGCTGCTACTGCTGCTGCAGCTGTTGAGGGTGGTGCTGCTGCAGGCGCGTGCGTGTGCAGCAGAGAAGCAACCAGAAAGGTCATAAGAGTCAGCATAAATAGTTTAAGTAAAAACGAAAATAATAATATACAAAGAAACGAACAAAACAAACAAACAGCTGCCTGGGGGGCCCTGCTGCAGCAGCGGCAGCATACATACCCGCGGTGCTTCTGCTGCTGCTGCTGCTGCGATGCTTCGGTAGCGTTTGTTGTTTTTTATTCTTTATATCTGTATTTTTAATTATAAAATATATTTTTTTTCTTTTTATTTATTTATTTTTTACTTATATTACTCCCAATACACCGTAGACATATACAGCCACACAAACACCCACACAGCGACGCCTGTGTTGCTTAGGTTAAGTAGAGGGGCGCCCCCCCCGGGGTGTATATGCAGCTCGTTTTTTTTCTTTTTATGTATTTATATTTATTTTTAGTTTGTTTAGGATATTTATACACAACAAATACACATTAAAACACAGACCGATCAGCAGCTCACCCCCACAGCCAATGCTTGCTAGTCTATCTCTAGCTTAGTGTGTGTGTGCGCTATCAACTTCTGCTGCTGCTGCTGCTGCTGCTGCTGCTGCTGCTTTCTCCTGCTTGCGCTGCGGCTGCTGGGGGGTGGGTTGTAGTGTGTTCATGGTCGTGCTGCATGCACGAGTACGGGGCTTGAGTGGCGTTCGCTTGCTGCGGCTGCTGTTGCGGGGTCTATACTTCTATCCCCCCCTGCCCCCTATAAGTAAGAAGATACGAGTTCTTAGCAGCTGCATGCAGTGCTGCTGCATGCAGCTATTGGACGTGAGTCTGTGTGTGTACCTGCATGCGCTGCTGCCCTGCAGCAGCAGCTGCTGCAGCAAGCCCCGCTGCAGCTCACCACAAGCCGCCGCCTCTTCGCGCTTGTCTCAGACCCCGCAGCAGCTGTCTCTGGCCCCCGTGAGGTGTATAGAGGAGCTCTATTCTAGCTGATCTAGTTGAACTATTAAATTTATTTAGCGGTGGCTGGGTAGTTGTTTATATTATCTTTGGTGCCCTGGCTCTGCTGCAGCACAAACCACCCTCGCTTCCCTCTGTAGCCCCCCAAAGTACCCACCGGCAGCTCTCATGGGTTGATGCTAACCAGCACAGCTCAGCTACCAGCGTTGCAATAGAAGCTATGGTTGTAGTGAATATTCAATACACCGCATCCGTAAACAAGTGGGGGAGGGGTACACGCGG